TGAGAATATAGATGAAATGCATTGGCTGTATGAGAATAAAGATGAAATGCATTGGCTGTATGAGAATAAAGATGTAATGTTAATAAAGTGGTCTTTTAGTGATGTCAAATCTTTATTCTTTTGTTCCCTTTTTTGCAAGAAGTGTCATGTTATTATGGAAACATCCTAATTTTGTGAACAAATAGTATGCAACAGTGACATTTATAAGTTAATTTTACGCTATCTCCATTCATGAATCACAACTTCATTTATCACGCAATTGATACATAATTTATCACACGAAACCTAATTATGTAGGATATATGAAAGGAACTTGTCAAATAGGTCACTATATCATAAAATCATTTTCTAGTATTACATCATGATGTATTGTTTTATGATTACATGTCATGCTGCACATCAAGGGCCCTTGATTGGAATAATAAATATTCTTATTCTTATTCTTATTACATAACATTGAGAATGCCTGCCGGTATATACATTTTATAGAAGTGTAAATAAAATTATACAAATAAGATTATAAGTCAGTGTCAGTATCAAAAAAATCATTGAGGCTCTGTAAGTACAACTCTAAATTAGATCTGTATTCTGAATGTTAGAAAAACCTTTAATTAGGTCTTTCCACTTTTCTGTGGAAAGACCTATTGGTTTTCTTCTGATTATTATTTTTTTCTTCTTCCGCCAGTTTTTTTCTGACGGTGCTTTTTTGTTTCGCAAGATGTCGCTTAGATTTTTTGTGTATGATATCGAACAGTTATTGCGATTTTGAAACTGACCCTATTTAGCCGAATACTTTTTATTGTAAGAGTTATCTCCCCAAACACTGTTTTTCTTGTGTACACATCTCCTTCGCAACCGTAAAGGATTATGACAAATTTATGTCTCCAATTTGTTCGTTATATCCTCAGGATCTTAAGAATAATTTTGACCGAAGCGGTTCAGAAACTCCATATGAGAGTTATTTCCCCATCTGTATTTAAATTAAGTAAAATGTAATTGTAATTGATAAACCATAAGTGATAGGGACCTAGGGTCTTTTGATTTGAGGTCCTTGGTCCAAAAAAAAGGAAAATAGGGTCAAGGTCAAAGGTCAAGGTCATTTTTAAATTTGGATTTTGGCTTATTTTCACCCCTTTTCAAACACGATATAAGATATCGACAACATAGTTTTACTTAATTGTTAGTTGCGACATGTCGTAACACATACATATCGGTATAAAGGGTACGCTTACATCAAATTAGAGTTTTCTCCCCTCTTTTATTTAAAAATATGCATATGGTGATATAACTCATGAACCAAATATAATTAAGTCCTAGGGTCTTTTGATTTTAGGTCCTTGGTTGATGACCTTGAAATTGAGCTCAAGGTCATAGGTTAAATTCACATTCTAGATTTTGACCCTTGCTTTTACCTCATATGTATACATGATAAATCCATGGGACTTTTTGCATTAGGTTTCAAACCATTTAACCTTAGAAATGCCAACCGGAAGTGACCTTGTGTAAACCGGAAGTAGCTTTTTTTGTACTTAACTAATGTAAAAGTTTATAAAACCAGATATTTTTGGTATCAGTGTCAATTAAACGTTTGAATAATACCGGAAGTAACATTTTTCAAATCGGAAGTAATAAATTATCTCCCTTATTTAAAAAATATTGTATAGAAACCATATATTTTTGGAATCAGCGTACAATAAGCTATCATTTGAAGTCGGAAATGACATTTTAAAACGAATTTTACTATTTTCATATTAGAATACATTTTTTTTTGTGGAAAGACCTTCAATTGTTCTCTGAACAATTGGTTTTTAATTCTGAAAGAGTTTTGAATGACTGGTTTTGTCCGACTTTAACACTTATATTGTGGTTTGTATACAGTAGTCAGTTATTCAATGATCCCCAATGGTTCCCTTCTCGAATATAACAGGTCGAACTAAATTATGTGTAGAAATGTAAAAATAATACTTTATAACTTTGCTGAGTCCGAAGAGCTTTTATGGATTTACCTTCATTAGGAACGCCAATACTAAACAATTGAAAGGTTGTATAACTATCTAGACACGTGAAAGGCTGTATAACTACCTAAACACGTGCAAGGCTGTATAACTACTTAAACACGTGAAAAGCTGTATAACTACCTAAACACGTGAAAGGCTGTATAACTACCTAAACACGTGAAAGGCTGTATAACTACCCAAACACGTGCAAGGCTGTATACCTACCTAAACACGTGAAAGGCTGTATAACTACCTAAACACGTGAAAGGCTGTATAACTACCTAAACACGTGAAAGGCTGTATAACTACCTAAACACATGAAAAGCTGTATAACTACCTAAACACGTGAAAGGCTGTATAACTACCTAAACACGTGAAAGCTATATGATCAAATAGGGCATGAATTAATAAACAAATCCATCTAAGGTCAACTTTGCCTGAGGAAGTTGGGGCCGTAGTTACCTTAAAAGACAAAAAGGTGTAAGGTTATAATTGTTCGAAGTAATGCGCTCATTCTGTTCTACGGAACATACGATTTACGAGACTTCTGCATGTTGTAAACACATAAAATAATCCTGAATTTAATTATTTTGGTTTGATAGATTCAGATTTTTCACCATTTCAAAAATAACCTTTTCTTCATCAAATTGAACTACATGTGTTTGTCCTCTGATGTTCTTTTTGTTCAGCATAAGTCATATGTTTTAATTAACCTATTGGGTTTTGCTCATTGTTGAAGGCCGTACGGTGACCTATAGTTTTTAATTTCTATGTCATTTGGTCTCTTGTGGAGAGTTTAACTCAAAATAGTTTTCAATACTATTTAGAAAAGAGGCGGCAAACTTGCAGTTTATATTTCATTGAAGGTAAGATACTGTTCGTTTTGGGTTATAGTGTTATTTTTACTAGTAAATAATCTATTACACATATTTTAAGCAACATAACTAAGTTCTTCTGTTTAATTTGCTTGTACGTATATAAAATAGTTTATAAAAAAATATTTTTTTATTGATTTAACAGGGCATTTACTAAAAAAATCTACTAAAAGATGCAACAACAAAAAATAAAATTCACTAATGATAAAAGACTAACAGCAAAACTACAAACAGAGAGGCGATTTATAATTAATGCATGAGTGACGGGGTTTAAAACTCAGCAATGTAGAATACCCTAGAATAATCTTGTTGACCCAATATTTCATTTCAAAAAAAATACCGCTTTATTTGCGTATGATTGCAGGATATTTATGGTTTTGCAGTATCATTGAAAATATCATTTATTAAAAATCTAAATCAATTGTTACATGAAAGAGTACCACAGACACCTGCCTAAACTATCATATTTTCAGACCTTATTTAGACAAAATCCACAATTTATTACGGTCGTCACCTTTGTCATAGTATACCTTGTGTTGGATTTCAATACCTATAATATTGTATATAATATAGAGAGCCATTGTTAAACCTAATTAACTTAAGTATCATAAAAGAAATATCCTGATTGCCTATCATACCTTTCGAGAATATAGAACTCAATTAGCTTATCTAACAAATCCATATATATTTCGTTGTTCAATTGAATTCAGAACGTTTCCATACTGTTTCTATGGAAACCGTTTTTTTTTTCTTTGAAATATCGTATATCTCTTTTCACGATGTATAATTATACCGATGGCTTGTGACATCTCCTTAAACATACCTGTGGTTTAAGGGTTAATATTCCGTTATTATTCAACAACAGACAAGCAATTTACAACATCAAAGGTAAGAATTTTTGATTTTCTGACTTAAAACCAGACACCAAACCAGAAACAACAGAGTTTTCTAGTTCTCTATAATATGATTTGAATATTCACAAAGAAAATCCATCATAAGTACAATAATTATAAAGAATGTGGTTGTACACATTGTCATTATTGAATTTCATACATGCTTTTTCGATATAAGTCGGATAATAAGATTTTGTTCTAGACAAATATACATTTGTTTGCAATATACGTTCTTCTAAACGTTTCAATTTATAAGTAAAACGCAGATGTTCATTTTTTTCTTATTAAATTGCAACATTTTATCATTGTTCTGTTATCCATTTCTTCAGATGCTAATAGAAGAAACAGATCAAATATCTATAAAAAGAAGATTTTATTCGACAGAGAAATTGGACGAAACATACCGCCGAGTAAAACCACACAGGAGGTCTCTTTTGAAAAATTTCAAATCTCAATGTTTTTGTTCCAAAAAACGAGCATGGAATATTCTAACAACTGTTCTTCCGGTTTTGAAATTTGTTGCAGAATACAAAGTTAGTAATATTGTTTGTGATTTCATCAGTGGATTGACGGTCTCAATGCTGCACATAGCACAAGGAATAAGCTTCGCAATTTTGGCCGGTCTCAAACCGCAACATGGGTTATATACATCAATATTTCCCGTTGCAATATACTTTATCTTCGGAACGTCTCCGCACATTTCCTTTGGATCAAACGCAGTGTTGGCTATTTTAACAAGAAATGTCATACAGAGAGAAGTTGAACTACATAGAGTAGGACATTATTTGAACACAACAACTTCTGTCTATACAAGTGATGATTACATTACCTTTATAACAGAGTCCACTATGATGTCATCAGAGAAAATAACTGAAAACACGTCATACTATCCTGTTAATTACACTACTACTACTACTACGAAAAGAGAACCAGCAAACCATGATGATGACTATTTTCAGCTAAAAGGAGAAATCGGTGTTATTGCTTGTATGATGACTGGTATTTGGTTGACAGGATTTGGAATATTACGATTGGGTTGGATTTCGAAGTACTTGTCAACTAGTTTCATCGGTGGTTTCACAACTGCATTGGCCATTCACATTGCATCATTAGAAATTCCAACCATGCTTGGTATACAAGTTTTACCTCGTTTTGGTGCAGGAAGGTTAATCTATCTGTATGTTGACCTATTTACTCAAGTAAGGATGACCGTTCTTGGTGACCTCACAGTTGCCTTGGTAACACTCGTTATCATCTTGACATATATAATTATAGCAAATAAATACAAAGAACATCTAAAATTTTCTTTACCTTTCGAACTGCTTATAGTAGCAATCGGTATTATAGCTTCTTATTTTGGAAAACTGGAGCGCGTTTACGACATTGCGGTAATTGGCGAGGTACCAGTTGGATTTCCGATACCCTCAGTGCCTACATTACGACGAGGATCTAACATGATAACTGATTGCTTAATTATGGCGCTTTTGATATTTATCATAAGCGTTTCAACAGCAAGAACAGCAGGAAAAAAAGAAAACCAGTATACGGACTACAACCAAGAGCTGATAGCATATGGACTCTGTCATGTTTTTTCTTCTTTCTTTTCTTGTTTTCCACAAGCCACTTCACCACCAAGATCCATGCTTCTCAAGAACTTGCGCGCTAGGACAACTTTTCATGCAATAGTAACTGTACTCATAATGGTTTTAGTCATTTTATGGATTGGGCGGATTTTTGAATCCTTACCTATGGCAATGATAGGAGCCATCGTTGTTGCATCAATGACAGATTTGTTTACTCAGTTCTCCGAATTACCAAAGTACTGGAAAGTTAACAAGTTCGATTTCTTCACGTGGATGATCACTTTCCTGGTATCAATATTTGCTGATTTAGATTATGGAGCAGTTACTGGAATCGTTTTTTCGTTCGCATCTGTTGTTATCCAACACCAAATTGCAAAAGGACGCACAATTGGGTTTTCCGATAAAGAAAGTGTCACTTTTGACGAAAAGAGAAGAATTCACGTAAAAGAATTTCCATCGGTTAAAGTATTTATGTTTGATGCACCAATTATTTTTGCAAATGCAGAAATATTCAAAGATAAACTTTATCGACAAGTCCCTAAACCTCGAATCAAGACGGAAGCTGTCCGTTTACCATCCAGTGATTCTGTTGGGAGCAGAACCACTGAAAGCGATTACTGTGATGCCTTAAACGTAAATGGTCACGTGCAGGTAAAGAACGCTAAGATTTGTTCAGTGGCCAAGTTGCAACACTTGGTTATTGACTGCCAAAAAGTCAATTATGTTGATATTTCTGGAGTAGATGTTCTTACTGAAGTAATCAGAGAATACAAGGAAGTTGGGATCAATGTTTATTTTGTTAACTGCTCGATGAGAGTCAGAGATGCACTAAAAGCTGCTGGTTTCTTCACAACATTTCCGAAAGATCACATTTTCTACGATGTATTTGATGCTATTTTTGCAATTGACAATTCTTTCCTAAGAACCGCGCTGGACATTTCAACGGTTGAAGAGATGACAAAGCTATGAAAAAGATTTTCAAAGAGATCGGTTTCTGTTATGGGTCACTTATCAAAATCTTCAAAAGTTTTATGTTTGTGAAACTGCGTCGTAGATATGATCAGAAAAAAATGTTTGGATAATTTATAAACATTTCTATGAAGTGTTGAAATATTTTTCGTATATTACTTTACTATAATTATTAACGTTTTGATTTTTCAGGGTTAATTATCATGGTTAGTAAGTGTATTTAAGTCTCTTTAATGAAGTATTTCATTTCTTAAATACAAAAGAATATCCTAATTTGAAGCAACATTGTCATCCTATTATTTCTGTATAAGGCACAGGAGTTCCGCTAATTTTCGAAAACGTCTTGTTGATATTTGACTTTTTCAAAATTTGCTAAAAGTGTTACTATTTCAAATTCTAATTCAAGGTTGCTTGTATGTGATAAATGACAGTAAAAATCTCAAAAAATGGATCACCTGCCAAGTCTGTTATATAATTTTCACAGACGAACAATTTTAAAAATAGAAAGCTTTTTGTATTTCAAATACATTGTTGTCACTTTCTCGTGAATCTATATTGTTATAGTAGTATATTAATGCTAATAATAAAAGGTGATAAATATACAATATATGTACATTGTCGGAAAATATAAAATTTATTTGTATGAGCTTTAGAAACAGGACGAAAAGCGAGGCTCGCCGAGCTTTTCTCCTGTTTCGCAGCGAGTACAAATAAATTTTATATTTTCCGACAATGTACATATATTGTTTTTATTCTGAAATTTACACCCAACACTTGAAACTTTAGTTGTTAAAATCTAAATCATTGTCTCTAATTTTTCAAAGAAATCGCCATAGTTTAAACGCGGACCGCGAAGAGGACCCCAAAATGAACTGGTACGCAAAAAGAAATATCCACATTACGGCTTGCTCAACATGGAAGAGGGGTAACAGGAGACTTTATTTCTACAAGTACAAATAAACATGATAAAGCAAAAATTTATTTGTGTACCTGTTATTTGTACAATAGCTAGCTGATTGCAGGATAAATACTAATTTGTTTACATTATATCTGTACGTAAATATTTCCACCAATCTCGCTTTTCAGCGACGTACTTTCACTTTGTAAAATGTTTAGCCGTTAATTTCTTACAGTCTTAATTAAGGGACCTTGCAATATCTATTAGGCAGGTGGGACCGGTGCAGACCACAGTTGGACAAGCACATTTTTCATCCACTTTAGGCATAGGGTCTCCACTTTTTTCACCTTTGGTTACCATAGGACATGAAGATTTATTCAAACTATGGCTATCAAACAAAATTTTTTATTAACTAAATATCCAAACAAGAAACATTTGTACAGTCAATAAAATAGTTTATATTATAACAAAAAAGACAATGTAAACTTATATTTATTTGTTATATTTAAAAGTATAGTTTGTATGTTAAACTAAATGAAATTAAAAATATATGTTGCTAAACTTTTTTTCTCTGTATACATGTGCTTTATGAAAGGAAACACACTTAAATGATATTTACTGTAGAAATTGTTTGATTGGCAAATTTTATTAATATTCAAGTTTGACATATCGGCTCTTTATTTTTTTACTTAAATCATCATCTTTAATATATTATCATGGAAATACATGATATTTTCATATTCATATGAATTAACTCATTTTTAACAATTTGCAGACAAAATAATCATGAACATTAAAAAGCAAGTAATAATCATCAAATGAACAAATTAAATGAAGAAACCTCTTTCAAGGTAAATAGTCAAAGTTTTTTTTTTTGTCTTTATTCATGGTAAATAGTCAAAGTTGATCACGGTAAATAGTCAAAGTTGAACAACATATACATATATTTTATCAGATGTAATTCATACCCTATTAAACTTCCCACTTTAATGTTTTCATAAATGTAAGAACCGTTCTTGCATACAAAATTCAAAACTCTTCTATTCTTCAAATTTAACATGTGTAAAAGAGTATATTTCTTTAAAGGGAGCTAATACATGTTTTCTTTAATTTGTATTTTTGCAAATTTAACATCACATCTACAATAGAAATACTTTTATTTTTTTGAAGGTCTACATTAAAATAAATATATTAGGATCAAAATTTGTATTTGAAACTTTTCTTTTCATAGAAGACTTCAATAAGTCATAAAAGTCATTTGACAAGATTAAAACAGATTCTAGAATTCCTTTCTTACGATAATAATGCCAAGAAAGCTTTTCTCCCCATTTTTTAAACATAAAATATTTCGAAAAGGAGTTCCATATCCTATCAATATTTTTAGCTCATCTGTTCCTTTTAAACTTTTGCTGTTCTGATTTATAGTATCAATTTTAAATTCCAGATTTTTAAAATTTCACTTAAGTACAATCTTAAATGTCTTGTTTATTGTATTATTGATCATGCACATACTTAAACATCAATATTCAAAAACAGTTTTCATTTATTACTACAGTAAAAATAACCATTATTAATGACATCCTATCACTTAGTGCCAGATTAATTCAGATAAAGTTAATGGGACACATACTTTTTTTCTGCATGCAAGTCATATAGGACATTGAGTTTTTACAACCCAAATCAGTATAGGACATTCACGTTTTTTTGTCACAACCAGAATTTGCACCGGTCCCACCTGCCTGATACATATTGCACGGTCCCTAATTAGAAATAAGAAGGTGTGGTATGAGTGCCAATGAGAAAACTCTCCATTCAAGTCACAATATGTAAAAAGTAAACAATTATAGGTCAAAGTACGGCCTTCAGCACGGAGCCTTGGCTCACACCAAACAGCAAGCTATAAAGAGCCCCAAAATGACTAGTGTAAAACAATTCAAACAGGAAAACCAACGGTCTAATCTATATAAAAAACGAGAAACGAGAAACGAGAAACACTTAAGAAACCTGAAATAGTAGTGTAACATTACAACATAGAAAGACACACTATAAAATATCAATTGAAATGGCTTAACTCAATCAAAAAGACATATTAACAAAAACAAGTAAACTTACAGTGAACGAATAAATTTGATCTATGACACAATATAAATACAATATTAAATAAAAAAGGGGGGATGTAAAACACAATGTCAAAAAGACAACTATAACCTTGGACAAAATGGCGTTAAATAAAATAACGTACACAGGTAAATATAGGTATAATAATTTTGTTGTTAGGAGTACGGAGATATTTTTTACAAAATAAATAAATTTGTTGTTCATAGTACGAGAACAGCAGTGAATATTTATCGTCATATTAAATACTTATCAAAGGTGGTACATATTAAAAATAGTGAGACGAGATATAACATAAGATAAGTAAACATTGAATTACAAAAATGCATTACAAATTGTGTCTAACAGGTCAAATTAACACGAAAGTACGATTTGAGAGTACTCGCAGTTACTGAAAGCTAGTTAAAAGACAAAAACAATTAATAATAAAAAATCATGCATCAGAGACTAAAATCAACTAAAACACATCCCAGGGATTTAGTGTTTTAACGCCATGGACAGTCAAAGAAGACATGACTTGTGAAATGCCAAAATAAAAATATCGACAGGCAGTAGGATAGTTTGGATTTAACCTTATAATAAATATATATAATGTTATATTGATTGTTGGTTGCTTAACGTCCAGTCTATAATGTTATATATAGATAAAGCAATCTCTATATAGAAAATGAACGTGGATGTGTATTTATACATCCAAAAAACAATTCGAAAAGAATACAAATTTAGTTATGTTTTAATTTGTTGATGACAAAATCGATAGTTGTGCCAATGTAAACAATATTGAAAGATCCTATTACAACATTAATACGATAACCTTTACTAATAAGTTTGTTTAAAGGTTCGATGAGTCTACATGGATCACATAGCGATTTCCGCGCTTTAAGTACAATATTACCGTAAAAATTAGGATGTTTAATACCGTTTTTAATAAGTTTTCTACAGGTACAGCCAAATTTACTAATCAAATCTTTGTATCTATGAAAGAATTTAGTAAAAGTTTTAAGTAATTTATGGTAACGAAATCCCTGACTTAATAATTTATCAGTGATGCATTGATTACGTTCGTTAAAATCTATGACATCACTACACACACGGACATAACGAACGAGTTGGGATATGTAATCACCGTATGATGAAGCCAAAGGAACATCGCCGTCTAAAAAAAGGAAAATTAACAAAAGGGAATGAAAAATCGTCTCTTTTGTATGGACTTCAAGGAAAGAAACAAATCAAAAACACAGAAACCAATAAATTGTATGTTCTGTTTAGGACAACGATTTGTACCAACAAGTGTGATGTATGTTTGTAGGTTTGAGATATTAAAAATCCGTTTGATATAAATATAACGAGATATAAGTTATACATTAATAAGGTAGCAACCAAACAATACAACGAAACAAGAAATACATTTATCCTTTGAAATATGTGTATTTAAATCATTATTTCTGATTTCACTAGTGTATCTCTTCCAATGGTGATAAAGATATCGATTTTTATTTAGAAACCATGCATCGCTCCACTAAGTTAATGAGCTGCGTTGGACAAATACTCATCTATAGTTATTGACACACGTTTTACATTTTTATATTTATTATATATTCACACAGGCACATAAAACTTAAATCTCTACTAGCTAAGAAATTCGATGACTTTTTATTATTCGTGCGTGTTATTAAACCAAACAAATTTTAAAACGTTATGACTTAAATTTTATCAGTGTGCGTATGCTTTATGACAACAATCAAAAACACAAATACTTACAAAATATTCGTTCTGTGGTTTATTATTGGTAAAACAGTCTGCCCGGGAAACGGATGTCAAATCGATATCAAATCAGGAACAATTCAACAACCTGATGCAACAGATTAATTCTAATTGCAAGGATATAATAAAGATGAACCCGGATTATGGTTTTCTTAAGTACACTCGACACGCAGTATTTCCTAAGAAAATCATATTAAATTTTACCACAGTCCAAGAAAATAGAATTTGTAACAGACAATTTTGAAAGTAATCAAAACCGCGGTGACCTATGTAACTGTAATATTCCTGACATAGTTCAATGTTGGCAGAACTGTAGTAGACTGTTAAATCCATTAACAATCTTTTCAGACTTGCATAATATAAAATTTGCTACATTGTATTGACACTTTTGTAATATTAAAGAAAATATGTTGACCAATACCTCTCTTTAATGGGTCCGTATGTGGCCTGTTGCAAGGCAAAATTATGCCTACAGCCGTTTTTCCTTTCAAAGTGACAGTCTAGTTTCCATGTCCTTCATCCCTGCGTATCTACTTTGCAGTCTTCTATCGAATTAGTTAGTAATATGTTCTCGTTCTGAATACATAAGATATATAATGGTGTTAAAATCTGTTTTCGTTCTGAATATATATGATAGATTGCCACTTGGTGTCAAGCAAAAAAACAATCAATCGCAATAATCGGAAGAAAAACGAGCGATTTTTTTACATAACGACAGAAAGTTCCCCCGCACTTGATGTACATGTATCATTTTTAAGCAATATGGCCCGTCAATTATTCATTTTCGTAAACCGCATACTTTTTGGTATGTTCAGAAAGTAATTTATTATGTTTAATATGTCACTTTGTATAACATCTAAGTTATCAACAATGTAATATGTCTTGTGATGATATATCACTGGTGTCAACGTGATGATCGTAACTGCAATTACGATCATCCCAATATGCATATGGCGGACACAAATTCAGGTAAATTTTATAAGGCCGATTTCTCCACTTTAACAGCTTATTCTCAGATTTGTATTATGTCAAGAAAAATCTTTATAAGCATTGCCATTGAATGTTTTTTTCCCCTAAATGATGGAAAAGCAACCAGAAGTACAAAAATTGAGATACAAAAAAACATGATGATGATCGTAACTTCGTGTATGGATGATCGTAACTTGGAATTGTTTTTATAAAAAGATGATCGTAACTCAAAATTTACTATGTGTTTCTTCTTTAAATGAACATCCTATTTAGCGGTCACGATATATTGGTATCACTAAAAATAGTAAGATTTTAAAACTGAACAAAATGAGCGTTAATGAACACCGCAATTTGTCAAAAAGAAATGACATAAGGGGGAATTAGCCGGCTTTACCTTATTTGTAAATGTTATCAATATTTTTGTTCTAATTAGTAATTTAGTTAACATTCAAAATGGAATACGTTTATATGATGTAAATATAAATATCATCCTCATGATACAGTCTAAGATTGCAGGGCAAAACTTTCACTGAATATTAATCAAATATTTTAGAAATAAGTAATGGTAGGCATGAAGTTACATTATTTTGATGTGTTTCCCTCGGTTTTAGCTTGTTGCCTGGTTTTGTATTTTCTTAATCGAACTATGACTATTAAACATTGGTAGACTACTGTTGCCTATATTTACCATGCGTAGGTTCTTTATGTAATGAAGGAAAAGCTGAAATAAATGGTATACGCGTTCATATTAGATTAAATAAATTCCATATTTTTTTAAAACTATAATTGCTTAGTTATTAAAATCTTAAACATCACACTTTGATGATGGGTAGTTAATCCATATAAACTGCCAAACCAGAAAAATATCATGCAAAAGGAGAGCTCAATCTGACATACCGGTATATATTTATCAGAAAATGCTTCGTTGGAACAGACAGCTACGATCACCTTAAGTAAAAATTACGATCATCGTGATAAAAATAAATAAAAGTTACGATCATCATCGTGTTTTTTTTTTGCATCTCGATTTTCGTTCTTCTGGTTGCTTTTCCACCATTAAGGAAAAAAACATTCAATGACAATGCTTATAAAGATGTTTCTTGACATAATACAAATCTGAAAATAAGCTGTTATATTGGAGAAATCGGCCTTATAAATTTACCTGAATTTGTGTCCGCCATATTGGGATCAGACACCTATCAACCAATCCTGTCACGGCACGAAACATCGAAAAAAAAACGAAAACCGACGGAGTGAGTGAATAAAAGAAAGCATCTATAATTGTTTTTTTTTCAGATGACTGACAAGATATTGTTCGTCCAAACAGTAACAAAATGGTTCCTAGTCGACAAACGAAAAAGTGCTCTAGATCAACTTAAGGAAGGCTTAAACACTATTAACTTTCTTGATAAAAGTTATGTCCACGTTTGAAACCCTGTCTTGTTCTTGGTACTAATTTTACGCTTAATGAGAAGTTTATGAAGTCACGACTGGAGAATTATCAACTAGAAATGAGAAGGTAGTTAAAATCAAGTATTTGGCAGCAACTTTACTTTTGGCTTTAAAAGGTTTGTACATTCATGTAGCAACAAAATTGACGTTAAAACTAAAACAACCTTACTATGGAATTTCCATTTTGCAAAATAAAGTTATATTTATGCGATATTTATTTTACAAAAGAATATTTTGTTACCTATGGTATAGACAACATGTTTGGCAACAAAAATTACACAAATGTCTACATATCAATTTTGTTCATGTATTGTAGGTGACCAGGCTGCTGGCCTCTTTGGAGTTATGACTGGAATGAGAGAATTACCGCTCGGATAAGGATATTGAGCTTTATCAACATAGCCCAGATGATACTCTACCAGGTGCAGTCACGTGTGGTCATCTTCTTTTGCTCCCGCTTGGTAATGATATCAAGAGTTTTTATCGTTCTTTTAAGCTGGCATTAGAACATCGTGATTATTTTGGTAGAATTTAAGAACATTTTTGTTCAAAGTCATTTTTTAGCATTTTCATTATAAAAACAATCTCAATGAAGAATGTTCAGTGTATCCAAATGATGTATACATATTGATTGGTCTGTGTGCTCGTTCCTGGAATACGAGCATCTGAAAAAAACTACTTTTTTTCTGAAGGGAAAGGATGTTTCTGAATTTTTACATACGATATCTGTGAAATAACAAGAATTCAGAATATTTTTTTTCTGAATTGTATTCCAGATGTATAATATATATAGAATAATGGCATTTTTGTTTTTTATACTGACTTTATTAGTAAGAATATCAAGCGAGCCCGCTAGGGCGAGCTGATATTTGAGCTGATGAAGTCAGTTTCAAAAAATAAAATGCCAATATTCTTTTTATCGGCCAATATCCGCTGTGAACAAAAACGGAGATCAGAATGAAAGTTCTTTCAAATCAGGACAATCCAGTATCGTATAATTATTTTTTACAGGGATATGGGCTCACATCCCCTGTGAAGACCCCGAATGATATATAATGCATTTGATAATGCATTGTCAAATATAGGGGTCGTTTGGCCAAAATAAAATTCAATGCAATGCACATACACAGACAAATATTCACGTGAAAATTGTGTGAAATTCAACTCAAACGAGCTTATACGTGAAACTCACATGAAAATTTTCACGTTAGTTTCACTCGAAATGAGATCTACATGAATCTCACGTGAAATTTTTCACGTGAATTTCCCGGCGTGAATTTTACAAAAAAATGGCATTTTGCATGATTTTAATTAGATTTATAAATTTAAATGTTATTTGAGTAACTTTGTTTTGAAAATTCATGTGAATTTCATATGAAAAAAATTTATCTGATTTTCACGTGAAATTCACGTGAAATCAGTTCACGTGAGTTTCACATATAAGCTCGTTTAAGGTGAAATTCACGCGAGATCCACATGGATTTCAATTCACGTAAGTCAAATTTCCCTGTGTAGGAAAACACATTAGAATTACATCAAATTAAGAATTAAGATAGATTGGTGTTTAACGTCCAGTGACAATAATAATAGTATATAAGGAAGAGAAGCTGGTATTATAAAATGAATCTAACCCTCTTTTATACTTGACTAGACCGACAAGCTAAACTGTTTCTTTTTTACTTGCTAGTCCACAAGGTTACCTCCTACATACTGCGGGCTTAGTGGAGAATCAGTAAATATTAATTTTCAAGTCTTTGGTTTGAACCAGACGGGAATCGAACCTACGACCTCTCGCATTCGAAGGCGAGCATGTTACCACCGTGGTATCGAAGTAATTAAATGGACTGTATGCCTGTCGTGTATTTTTCCTTTTCTCATTCATGTATTTTTTTATTTTATTCGTTTTAACCTAGTTGTTTCGATATTCTCTTATCATTATTTGTTACTTTGAACAAAATACTTGTTTGTAATTATTTATTCGACGAAAAGGATCATAACGAACATTAGCTTATCACGATATAAACATAAAACCAGATAAATGGATTTACATCTTTCAGACTATTAGCTTTTCTATTATGGAATAGCATGCATGAACGACCTTAAAAATTCATGTCTACAAAAAATTGAAGATTATCACATATTAAAAGATGACTGCTGCTCACATCTGTAACTTTTTCTTGGTATTTAGACATCGTCTGGAAACTAATCGTCTTTAAAAATTGACGTATCTTATATTATTTATAACATGATGGTTTCTAGATGAACAATATCATAATTATTCGTCAATGCGTCAATTATGTAGGTTTTTTTAATGATATCACAAATAAACTTGAATTTGAGTTAAAATGTAGACCCACGTTATATAATAAATGTGGAATGATAATGCTATTTCGTATCAAGTAAAAACGTCAACACGTACACAATGTACCGTAGACGCACTTCCAGTAGCTTAAAGTGCAATTTGTAAAGGCATAATAATGTATTATTTTTAAGATGAAAGATCAATAATTTATGTTTAAGTTCTTTTTCATGCGCCCGTAGATGTAATCTTTAAATATTAAGAACAGTGATTTGCAAATTATTAGAAAAAGAAACATATGTTTTGTATTTTCCTGGTTAAAAAGTGGGTGATGTCGTGACTTCCTATTGAATTAAGCTTTCCTGATATGGATACTGTGGACTTTTGTATTTCATTATCTATATTAATAAAAGAGAGTCGAAAGATACCAAAACGATATTCAGACTAATAAGTCGAAAACAAACTGACAATGTCAAGGCAAATAAACAAAAAACGACGAAAAGACAAACAACAGTACACAAAACACAACATAGAAAACTAAAAACACAGCAACACAAACCCCAACAAAAAACCGTGGGTGATCTCAGGTACTCTGGGAGGGTAAGCAGATCCTGCTCCACATGTAGCACCTGTTGTGTTGCTCATGTAAGTACAAACCCGGTGATAAGTCTAGATTGGTATGTCCCATTCGAGG